GATATCAATGATATTGTTCGATAATTTCCACACTCTGTTGGGTCACCTTTCTTTGGAATGGGAACAAATATCGATCTCTTCCAGTCAGTTGGCCAGGTGGTTGTTCTCCAGATTTCCTGGCACAACTTAGTGAGCACATCCAGGGCAGCATCTGTTTGTTTTATACCTATTTAGTCTGTATGCTGAGCAAATCATTTAAGAATCTGGACTCTATTAAGAAGAATGTGGCATCAGGATCAGAGGAAGATTCAGCAACAACTTATGTTATACAAGTGACACAACCTTACTTGCTGAAAGTGCGGAGGATTTGAAGCTCTTACTTCAGAAGATCAAAGACGATAGCCTTCAATATGGATTATATCTCAACATCAAGAAAATAAAAATTCTGATGACTGCCTTTTTCCATGAATGTTCTCAGAGTTGATCTCCCCAAATGGTTCTTACTCTCTTGACCTGGAAAATTCTACAAAATCATGCAAACTAAGAAGCTAAAATCTCTGGGTTCATTTAAAAAATACCCAGGAAACTGCTCCGGCCATCATGGGCATGCGTCTCTGGAAATCCACCAAGTATCTGAAAGATGTCACTTTACAAAAGCAGTGTGTGCCATTCCAATGCTACAGTGGTGGAATTGGCAGGTGTGCCCAGGCCAAACAGTGGGATTAGACACAGGGTTGGTGGCCCAAAAAGAGTGCTGAGTTTTTGCTTCATGTGCTTAAAAATGCAGAGAGCAGTGCAGAACTTAAGGGTTTAGATGTCGATTCTTTGGTCATTAAGCACAGCTGTGTGAACAAAGCTCCTATGATGTGCTGATGCAGGTACACCGCTCGTGATGGATTAACTCCTACATGAGCTCCCCTGCCATATTGAGAAGACCCTTACTGAAAAGGAACATATTGTTCCTATACCAGAAGAGATTTCCCAAAAGAAAAATATCTCCCAGAAGCAACTGAAGAAAAATAAACTTAGGGCTCAGGAGTAAATAATTAAACATCAAATAAAATTCAAATAACTTAAAAAACTTCTCACTATTGGACTGATAGACAATATTATAATTAAAGATTTTCCTGAGGAAAGATTGAAACTGTCAATGACTTCATTTTACTTGGATCTACAATCTAGTACGATTAAGTACCCTTGGTACTAGCAGGCAATCAGGAGACATTGCATTGGGAAAGTCTGCTGTAAGGGACCTCTCCAAATTACTGAGGAGCAATGATGTCAGTTTTAGGATTGAGGTATACCTTATTCAGGCCATGGTCTTCCCCTCTCTTTTTTATTGGTTTGCATACAATAATGTACATTTTGTTTTGTACATGTACATTGTGTTTTATATAATCTTTCATTTATACTGTGTTACATACAATCATTCATATACATTATATTTCATATAATTAATTACCATTGATCTATGCCTAGTATTATCTAATCTTTTAGGGTCCCCGTTGGATTTTTTTCTATTCCTCCCTTCACATACCCACAGTGCGCCCACTAAACTCTGCTATCCTAATGATTTCTACCCTTCCCCCTTTTCCACCTCCTTGCCTTTTCTAGACATTGATACAAATCTTACTAGTTATCCTTCTATTTTTATAATAATGGTCTTATGCAATATTTGTCCTTAAGAGACTGAGTTAGTTCATTCAACATAATGCTCTTCAGTCTCTCTGATACTGCATTTTCCAAAATCATTATTCCTTAGTATTGCATAGTATTCCATTGTGTGAATGTACCATAATTCCTCAATCCACTGATTTATTGATACATATTTGGTCTGTTTCCATATTCTTTCTATTGTGAATAACACTGCTATAAACATAGGCATACATAGCTCCATTTGTGTTTCAGTTCTCATTTCCTTGGGGATATTCCTAGCAGTGCAATAGCTGGGCCCTATAAGTTGTCTGTGTTCAGCTTTTAAAGAAAACCAAACTGCCTTTCAAAATGGTGATAGTATTTTACAATCCCACTAGCAGTGCATGGGAGTTTTAATCTCTCCACATTCTCCAGCATTCATTGTTTGCTGTCCTGTTAAACTTTGCTGCTGCTGCTGGAGTGAAATGGATATCTCTTTGTTATTTTGATTTGCATTGTTCTGATTGCCAGTGATTGAGCATTTTTTTCATGTGTCTCTTGACTATCCAAATGTCTTCCTTTGTGAAAAGACTTAATGGGGTTTTTTTTGCCCATTTTGTTATTGGGTTATCAGGGTTTTTTTTCGTGTGTGTGTGTGTGTGTGTGTGTGTGTAGGCCCTGTGTTGCTGAGTACTGTCGAGAGTGAACACACCCTTAGCTGACCCACCAACTGGTTTTCACATGAAGGGTGTTATTCACATGGGAGGAGATTGCCTGTCCTTCTGCCACAGAGCAGCTTGTGGATTCAAACTGTGTGCTTTTGGAACTGCAGTGCAGCTCTGTATTATTCTGTAAACTTGAGTTATGAGACACTTGTCTAAAATGTCATTGCCGAATTTTTTTTCTCCAATCTGTATGCTTCTTTTTTTCACCCTATTGGAGAAAGTTTTTGATGCACACTGGGACTTAATTTTTGGAAGGTCCTATTTGTTGATTTTATCTTCTCCTGGTTATGCATTTCTGGCTATATTTGCAAGCCTATTTATGCCATAGAGTAGGGCTTCCAGGTTTTGTCCCATTTTATCCCTTATGATTCTATGGTTTTGGCCTTTACCGCTAGATTTCTGTTCCACCTTGAGTTGATTTTTTTTTTATATGATTTGTGATTCTGTGAGTGGAGTGGTGGGAGTGTTTGTGTTTGAGACAGCAAGGTTGGTACAGGATAGAACGGTGTTTAGGACTCTTGTACATAGGGTCACTATGCAAACGACTCGATGGCACATAACAACAACATGATATGGGAATCCTGCTTTATCTTTCTGTAGGTAGGAGTACAGCTTTGCCAACACCAGTTATGGAAGAAGTTGTCATGCCCTCATTCAGTAGGTTTTGATTCTTTGTCAAATACCAACTGATTTTGTCGGTTGTTGATTGCCGTTGAGTCGAGCATGACACAAAACAAATGACCCTCTGAACAAAAGGCCTGAAGCCTTTCTAGAACTATCGTCTTTTCTCAAAGTTCATAGAGTTTCCGGAGTCATGTTACTTAGGAAGTAGATGCCACTCCTGCTTCCAAACCTGTCTAAATATAGATTATTCTCTATTGGTGAGTATATTATCGTATAGCATCAGCCATTCCACACAACCTAGACTTTCACTACTGATCAATTCAGTGTGCTACACCCAAGCACATATTTCAAAGTGAATTGTACTGCCGTTTTTTATGCATCAGCACTTTATAGTTTAAAGAATATTATCTAGATATCAAAGCCTTGCATAACAACCCTTGTATAACAATTATTATTCTATTCTTATTAATTTTTGGTTCTTTCAGTACTATAAGCAGCTTAGTGAATTGACAGCAAAATTAGTAAAATTAATTTATATAAAAAAAGTAGGGAAGGACTTATTTTTCAGTGCAAGTTATTGTCAAACTTACACAGCATACCAAAAGTAAAGTATTACATTTAATTTTAGAAACAGTAAAATTTGTGTAAAGCTCTAAAATAGATTGTTTTAACTTAACAGCATAAAACTTCTCTCAGTAGAAGGATTAATTTCTGGGATCTCATTTTACTCCATTGGTCTAAGAGTCTGTTGTTGTACCATGCTGTTTTAGTTACTATGGCTGTATAGTGCTATGACCCGCACTATATTTTTTTGTGTGTTCAGAAGAGCTTTGCTTATTTGCGGCCTCTTTCCTGGGTTTCCTGGGTAGCCCTAACCAAAGAAACCTGGCAATT